AGACATCATCTAACATGAGTTATGGAGATTTTCATGAAATATTTGAAATATCTTATTCTATTTGCAGAAACAAAAAACTCATGCCTATTCAATTTTGCTACGGGAATGCCTGTTTAATTAAAAGGTAATATTTGCGTAGATACAACATGAATTAAAAATATTATTTTAGTTATAATAAATACAATAAAATCATTTGATTCGATAAAATTTCAATGTATTTAAGCAATATTACTTAATAGAAACGGTCATGAGAGTAGATAAAACATGCCCATTAAGATTATCCGTACCTATATATTGAACTTATATTCTACACTAAACTAAATACTAACACCTAAATTTTTAATTTCTTTGATCCAGTTAAACTCATTCAAAATTCAGAACAAAATATGTAATGAATATTTCTATAAGTATTCATATTTTAGAATCATAAGAATATCCTAACAATTCCTTTGAAGAGAACTACGATTTATCCTTTTCACATATATGGATTACAGGTTGACGCTTTTACACCATTTATAATCAATATCAATGATATCAAAATGTATTTACATCAATATATCCAATACATTTATAAAAATATAAACATATTACACATCAATCATAATATATTAGGTTTTGATCATAACAATAGCAATTTTGAGATCTTCACATCAAATCAACATTGCTTTCTGTATTCAACATGTCTGTGGAAACACTACATCATTGTTAAAGTCATGACTTGAATTAGTTTTTCTACCATCTCTATCAATAGTTTGACTGATGATAAAATTTCAGAAGTAAAATTAGGGTAATAAAATGAAAAAACAGGTGGATACTTTTACCACAAAATTCTTTCAAAGAATAATAACATATTTTTTGAAAATAAGTTATTAGTGGTACGATGTAGGTTATATTAAATTATACATTGTTAGTTTTTGAAATGAAATTTTGATACTGGACGAAGGCAAGAACTATAGATGGCTACATGTGTTATCATTATTTGATTCATCACCCTAGTTATCATTCAATTTATGGTAATTATTCGTCACCCAGGATTCTGACTGCAGAGTACGACTTGCGAGTGGACTCTTAAGATTTGGAGTTTTGTGAGTGGGAGATTTGGAATCGATGTAGAATTGATCCGGCGGAGGAGGAGCGAGAAGAAAAGTAGCAGGCGACACTGCTGCAGATCTCAAAAAGCTCCTGCCGCGTAAACATATTTCGGGGAGGTAGCGGCAGCAACTTTCCCAATCTCTCCCGCGTCTACACTACTCCGTGCATTTTCTCGTAGAGTGAGGGAGGTTTTGATTGCTATGTATATCGAATATGTTGGGAAGCAAATCAAGGTAAAATAATCGTTCATCACATACAAGTTACTGGCTCGTATGTTGACAATGTCGGTTCTTTACTTAAGAAATATGAAGGTCGATCATAGTCCACGGTGTGTACTCGGGGCATATTGGAGTTTCGGACGCACGCCCCACTGGAATAACTATGAGCAGTGAAGAGCACCGATCATATACCAGCCATCAGATGCCACAGAATCATGACAATGTCGCTCTCCAAGCAAGTCTCGACACGTCGAAAGGCGAAACGACCATCGGAAAGACATCGGACGATCCACAGATTGCGCGTCAGTTCTTTCCTGTTGACCGGTACGAGGTACGAGCTGAAAGCGAGGCCTGGCCGATGTGCCTGTCCGTGGGATAGATGGATAGATCGAGACGGAGAAACCAACCGCAAAAGACACTTTGAGTGCATTAAAACTATGTCTCACATGGATAGTGTTGTGTACAGAGGGGCAGCAGAAGGGAATCTCGGAAGTGCGGGAGTATTGAAGTGTGGCACAGAGCCTGACATGTGCTGCGACCTTCGGCATGAGAACAGATTGATTTTCTGATGCCTGAGGGATCCCCAGGACATTGGTCACTTGTCTCTTTGCCATAAAGAAACTGGCGGTTGGAAGTAAATGACGACTTTCATTCGACCCGTGTTCCATCACTCCCCGGACCTCTCATTGACGCGTCCCTCGTCCGCTACATACGTACGTCGTCGACTTACGGTTCGGTACAGTGCACTGACTTGTTGGGCTTGCTCGTCTCGTTCACGGCTGGAGTGAAGAATCTTCGCAAGAGGGAGCGAGGGAGGTTGGTAGCCTCCGGCGTACACTGACGAGGTCTACTGGATAATTCGCTGCCTGTCTTTCGCGCATATCTTACTCGCAGCAGCGCAACATTTAAAGAGTCAGAGTTTCCGGTCTACGATTCTGAACGTACTCCGATCAGATACGAGCCTTCAGGCCTGTACGTCAGGGATACGAAGCTCTCTGGCTGCCGCAGGGCAAGATAGTCCCTTCAGTACCAGTACGTCCTCTCTTGGATTGATTTGCAGCCATGAGTCAGCGAGGCTGAAGAGCGCGGAGGTGGATCCACCGAGAGTTGGGCTCGAATCGAACTGTGCAGTGCAGTGCTGGTCTGAGATGAGATTTTACCCGCAGTACCAGATGCACATGCTGGAGAACTGCAGCATTTGGATGTAGATGTGAATGAGTTCTGACCAGCTTGTGGTCGAGTACTTGGCAGTGTTTTCGCGGTCAAACCAGCATGGACGTGAGGAATACATGACGCTGCGGGTGAGTTTCGATTTCCGTCCAGACTTAGTTTGTAGCGTACGGGAGCCTGGAGTACACATTTCTTTGAGGATCGAAGCATGATGCCGCAAACAATCACCCGATGGGTTGGCTTGAATATAACAGATTTGTGTCGATTCGTTCACAGTCGCTTGCACTTCGGATCGCAGTTGTCTGGTTGCTTTAGGATTTCAATGCTTGGAGAGTACGTGGACAAGAAGCAAACATTCGTGCATTCTCAATTCTTCTGTTACTTTACTGCACTCTATTACCCAATTCTATACCAGAAGGCCTAAATTGAGCCCGACTGCATATATGCCGTGGTCCGTGAAGGGCTTCTTATAACAATGATGGGTCTTACACTCCAAAGAGTAACTCACTCTTGTGATTCACTTGTGACATAAGCTATACCTTTTGATCCACTCGATAATATTAAATACTCGAGCAAATAAAAAGAAAACTGTAAGTCCAGCTAAGACAAGAAATTAGCAGCTAACGATATTAGATTGGCCGTAGTGAGATTAAAATAATGCAAATGTAGCAAAATTGTACAGTGTAATGCTATAGGCTACAATTCATATAAAGCATTAACTAAAAACTCCGCAGACATCCGTTCACTGATCTGGTACTTGTATGTCGTATTTCATCCTTTGCACGTGAAAGGAGGCCTTGACAGGAATATGCTGGCACACGGGTGTGAGAGTCAGCAAATTACGTGTAATCCTCATTGTGCTGTATACTCAAACGTGCTGAATATGTCAGTTTTTGATTTTGTGATGTCCTACAAGTCGTCTTCTTCTCCATTCACCAAACAAACCGAACTTCTTATATGCGGAATAGAACCGACAAACATATCCCAAATAGGGTGAAAGAAAGAGAAATTGGAAAAGCAGATGAATTCTACTTCATGTGAGCAGTAGTGCTGTCTATCGTCTTCTGGCCTTGGTAACGGGAAGGCTAGTCCATCTCTGATAATGAAGCTAACTTCAGTTTTGAATATTGTTGGCAAATTCGATGACCCAACAATGCTAGCTGGGTGACAGTGATTCCATGGCTCTTGAAACTTCTCTCTAGCAGTCCTACGACCTTGAAAAACCCAGGAGTTCATTCTTCTTCACATTACTGAGGAATAAGACGACTTTCTGATAATTCATAGTTATGAATCCCACTACATAACAACATCGGTTGGTGACGTAGAAGACTGCTTGCATAGTGTCTGTCCTTCGCTCATTTGCCACGCTTGTTGGTCAGTTCGGAATATATTCTCTAATTGAGAATGAAAATAAGTTTCTCATTTGTCATTAAATACATAGAAGCATGCATAAAGACCAGTTGGTGAATATTTGTTTGTAGTGACACCAAAGGGAGCTATCTGAAAGTTGAAAAGTTATTCTCTCATTTATTATGTTCAATCTACTTCGATAGATCACTTGGTAGGAATATTCATGAACTACTTTTCATGCATGGACTTTTCAAATTTGGATCTGCATCGGATTTACAGCTCACGTTCATATCAAGACAAAAAGAGAAAGGAATAAATAGCAGAAACCATTAGTAGTAGTACTAGTCAAAGCTTAAATTGAATGTGAAAGGTAAGACTTTGAGACATCTGTCAACTCATATGTGCTTCTACCAACCTTTGGTATGTCTTCAGGTAAAGGGATTCATCCTGCTGCCACCATAAGCTTTTACATACTGCTCACCATAATTAAAATTACACACAGACAAACTGATGAAATAAACCCTCAGCACAATCAACGATCTTAAGCATGAATAAAAATATATTGGCGAATGTGCGACTCTTTCATTGCTAAGTACAGTCTTTCCAAAAAATGCAAAAAGTTATTTATGCAGTATGAAGCTCGATACAACTCAACTAGAGATTGCTGTTTATCCTGTAGTTTTTGTAAGAATGATTTGGACTGTAGTTTGTTCCAATGCGGGGCCTAATGCAGATGCAGAATTCATTGACTCATTGATTTATTGATACGTACTGAGAGCGTGTTGGGAGTATGCGTGTATATAATCTATTTCGAGTGACATAGCTTGAGAAAAATGAGTCCACTTTCCTATTTAACTTGGGATTCATACCAAGTCCAAATCATAAAGTTATAGTTTGTAAGTTTCATGTTTCTTCAATTTCACAACTTATACAACTGAACACATCGTCTTCGTGATTGGAGAGAATCGAAAGGCCACAAGCATAGAGCTAAAACATCTGTGAGTAATTGTAAAATAACATTCAGGTAGCTCATGGCAAGTCTCGGGCAAAATATGGAGTAAAATTCTACGCTGAACAGTGAAAGGAAGGAGATGACTTGCTGCATACCATCAATAATTGTTGGAAAGATAGAATCGAGAGATGGAAGACTTCGTGACATGCTCATCAACTACAGAACTCCTCAAACAATGTAGCTTCTTAAGCTTCATGTGTGCTCATTTGCAATGTACATGAGAGGCAGCTTTCTTGGATACAGCAGCTGCTCTATGAAATCATTCACTTAGTTTTGAAAAGTCTGTCTATCATAAGGCAGACCTGGATGGATGCTTTTAATGTAACAGCTCTCTAGCATCCCAAGCAAACCATGGTGTATATAGAAAAAATTTCAATGCATCGCCTGGTGCATGATTCTCTAATTTAATCTCTAAGATTTCTCTAACTTTCTGGAATTATTGACCCCACTTTCTTAACAATACAAAGGAGATTTTTATCAGAAATGACTCATTTGGAAGCTATACTCCTGTAACTCCACTGATTCGAATTTGCTAGAAATACCAGCCTTCGTGGATCTTTAATATGTGCTCCATAAATTGGAAGATTTGTAAGGTATCTTATTATGTAAATTTCTGATAAGGTTGAAAAGGATAATTTCCTGATAACCTTATGTCAACAATGTTGTGGTGGCATTGTTCGCGGATGCCTCCGATAGGTCAGAACCATGACAACATCCTTTGAGAACATTGCAGGGTTGCAGTTGGCGGCTGGACGTACCCTTTGATCAGCAGAGGTAGATTCGTCTCTGTCACCGCTGCCCGTCGTCGTCGTTGTTTGATCCTTGGAAGGATTAAGGTTTGAATACCAGATAACGTCTCGAACATGTTGAAGTGGCAAATTGGGCACCACGGGTTGTCCTCTGCACGTTATCTCCACCTAAAGATAAGAAACATCACACTTGTAAGCAAGCCAGTCTGCTGCAGGCAGATATCCAGATTTCAAGCGGACGAGTTCACATGCGTGGATTCTGCAAAACATTCGCAAAGGAGAACAATCTCAGCAATTATTGTTCCTTCAGCTCGTCTAATCGAAGGGCTCCATGTGATCATTGCTCTCCGAATGTCTAGTCGCACACGGCATTGACCTTACTACCTAACACAGACCGCATTCTTTGTTTTCAAACGCACGGCCCCTACCCTTACTGCCCATCTGATCAGATTGATGAACACTACCTTTCAACTCGAGTATCCATTCCCCAGGTCTTCTCACTTGCATGCAAACACAGATCTAGGTCAATTATGTTGGAACTCTGTCACACGTATCTAAATTTCTTGACAGTTATTTGGTAGTCTGAGCACATCATTCACTGAGAGCAGATCGGTCAATCATACTGCCACCGAGATCTGGACACTAATCCTTCACAATTGGACTTCCTAAACCCTCTTTTGGAACTGGATCATACAAAAGAGGATTATTATCCTATTTTTGCTCACATGAGTTCAATCCGTCGAGTTTCCTTGCCTCTCGATTATGTGAACGACGGTACGCTCGAAAAAAATTGCAATCCTTTCGCATGCAAACTTGATTTATATTCAAGGGTGAGAGCAAATTAAGCTCGAGGCTTCGAAAACGACCCACAATCAACTCTCCAGGTTCGCCGTCCCATGACGGCTACATAAATGTCCATGTAGCCGTCCTTCGTTTGAGGGAATCAATAATTAACAAGAGAAAACGACATTCTAGAAGTAGGCGTGGCAGTGAAGGTGATATACCTCAGCCTCACTTGCAAGCCCAAGCTTGGTAGCAAGATATTTCTTGACAGCAGAAACAGGCATTTTGCCATCCCTGCGCAGGCACAGATTCATCATCATCAGCATCTGCTAGCAGTCCGAGACCCGAACTCTAAAAGGTGACACTAACGGAGTGAAGGAAAGCTTCACAAGAGTTTTGACAAAATATATTATTGTAAGCAACGCAAAGCTATGCCAGTACGGTCTTCTTTATGACTTCAAGCCAGGAGGGTCGACATTGCAGTTTGTAAACTTTACCAGTCTTCATGAGTTTGTTGCATGGTTCAAATTATGCGCTGCTCTAGCATGATATTTCAAAGGAAGTGGAGTGAACGACAATGATCTTACTCACTTTATTCTCAGATAAGCTTTGGTGATTTGCGGCAGACCAGCTTCGTCGTTCCTGCAAAATAGTACATAGCACTATAGGCCGTCAACGAGCCACTCGAGTATTGTTACAGAGGGTCAACGAGCAATATGATGGATGACAGTCGTCGGAGTTAGAACCAATGCTCACATAAAACCTCAGACACCACTGACATTCTCTTAAGGGACCGTTCTTCGACAAGGTCCAGCTGCTGACAATCGTATAGTTTCTTGACATTCGCATTATATGTCTTACTGCTCAGTCCGACTGCGGGGAAAATTCAGTATCCATATCTTCATCCATTTATGAATGACTCGAAAATCAGCGACGGAGATCACAGACTCTCTTCCAGCATTGCGAGTGAGTCAGATGGGCTTTTCAAAAGCTCACAGTGACAACTTCTGATGGTGCACAGTGACTAAGAACTGTTCGAAAGCTGCAAAGCAACAACGCAACAACCTTTGTTGCCATGGAATCAAACGGCCCCAGTGGTCGAAGGCAGCCAATTTTTGGCCATCACCCCATGTGCATGCTGTCAGTCCCTTGGAACGAAGCCAGTTATATCGTCCTTACAATGTAAGTTGGTGGCTCCCGCAGGATATTAGTGACTTTTGGCATGTTTTCGATAAATTTAATCCCACTGCCAATCACAGCCGATTCCAGTCTGCAAGGCATTGACTTGCTCCAAGGAATATTTCCCAGTCTGTGCACTCTGCTCATGCACTGCTTCAAACTGACCCGGGTCGTTTTCGCTCGGGTCTCTGCAAAAAATAGCTTCTCGGACGAAGGAGCCGACAAGAGTGGTAGCTTTGCAGGACAAAGGATGGTGAAAATTCCAGCCCAGTCCTCAAGACTCGATGGACCAAGACTCCTGGTACGTTCAGTACATGCCGGCACGTACACTAAGAAATCTTAAGCTTCGGTCGTTACTCTACCCGCAACTCAAAAAGCTGAGGGCAGTCGGATTCTAGTCGGACGACATGCCCAGTTCCAACACCCAGACCCAGGCCCAAGAGGCACCAAACCACGCATGCACCAGTCCCTCGCCCCGCCCCCCCTAAACCTCCCTCTTCCTGCCTGCAAGTACCCTCGCTCCGCTAAAAATAGAAGACATGATTCTAGCACACGTGCGACCCCCCGCCCCCCAGCAAGTGCAGTTAGTTGGGTTCAAAACCACGAAGCCCCGAGCCGACCCAACCCCTCGAGGAATTGTGGTGAATACGCGCAGCAGAAGATGCCGTAGAGACATTTTGCTCTTCGATTCGAGAATAAAGAGTACAGCGCTCATGCCGGGGGCGGAATTCAGTTCGGACTGGATGGGATGGGGTGGGGAGGGGAGGGGAGTCTGGACGTGGGTTCAGTTCCAGGTCCAGGAGTCCAGCTCTCGACGACGATGACTCAGAGCAGTCCGTGGGGGAATTCGAACTGTCATAATGAGAGCTACAATCAAACGGCTCTCCTGTCATGCATGATGCTCATACCCCCGGCCCGTACAAGGTTGCCATGGCCTTATGAGAATAACATGTGAACAAGTACAGCAAAAGGCGAACCGCAGCTGTGATATACGTCCTGCGCCAGCTTCGACCGCTGATCATGGATTTTGTGTGCGATGCAAATAATGTGCTGACTAAAAAGGTGCTGACAGTAAAATACCAGAATGCCAAAAGCACGATGAGAATGAGGGAGGGAGGGAGGGAGGGAGTCAAGAACAAAGGGGAAGGGACCGAAGGGAAGGGTGGGGTTGGGTTGGATGGAGGTGAGTAGAGTTGGTCTTAACTGATTCTCTGCTGCAGATTGTAGAATGAACCAGAGCCCCGCTTGACTAGTTCCTCTGGAGACAGGTGGCAAAACCTGGAACCTTGGCTTCGAGACACTCGGTGCTGCAGATCTAGAACCTCTAAGAATATTCACATTTCCATGTTGCAGCTTCGGTTGCCCAGCTGCGGGCTGCCAGCTTTGTCTTTGAGATGCCTGCTTTGTACTCAATATCTGCTCGATGTCTTGGTATCTACCTTGCACGGGCAGTCTGTCCGGAAGCATTGGCGACATTCCTGCTCGCTCTCCACTGTAAGCTTCCAGTTTTTCGGCTCTGGGGCCAGGTAGAGGTTTGCCCCCGTTCAGGCACCAATTTGCCACCGCCCCCAGGCTCGTTGGCTCAGGCGTGTTCCACTGAGACTGAGGTCTGTTTTGTATCTTGATCGCGCGCTTGAAGGCGTCCATGTGGTCCAGTGCCTCTTGAGACGCAGCAGCAGCTGCTGCATTCTTGTCCAGATTGAGCATCCGCGACGACCCGTCCGGCAGCTGAACTTGGGACGGGAACAACATGTTAGGACTCACTCGTTTGAATAAGTTCCCCCACTCGTCCGAGGCTCTCTGCAATTGCAGATCCACTTGATTGGGATGCCTTTCGACGGCCGCCTGATCGCTTCCTGTTCCTGATCTGGTAACCGAGCTCGTGCTCATGTCGGAACTCCAGCCTTGAAAATTGTTGGCGAGTGGAATTAACTTCTGGGCAGAGTCAGATGGCGAAAGCCACGCGTGTCCTGCAGCTTGGCGCTGATCCTCACTGGACTGCATCAAAGCAGCGAGAGCCGATTGCCGATTGCCCCGCTGAAACTGTTGAGAATGGTCCGTGGCTGAATGCTGAGGCGATTTAAATTGAACGTCCTCTCCCGATCTCGGTAAAAATGGCACAGCTCGACTGAAAATTCCTGCTTTCGCACCACCCGCACCCCCACCTAGAAGCAGATTCTCAGCCCCCATTGGATACTTGCCGCCGTGCGGATCTGCAGCTGGATGTCGGGGGTCCAGCGATCCAGCCAGAAGACTTGACATAGTTCCAAGGTTCCTTTCGGATGCATTACCTGCAAGGTCTCTGGCCAAAGGTCCTGGAGCACCGGGGGCCAAAACGAGCTGAGGGCTCGGAGCAGTCACGAGGTTGCCAAACAGGCACAAGTCCTTCTCGAGATTATAATTCGGGCCGCCCATTTCTGCAACGCCGGTGGTGGTTCTCGAGAAGCTGGACGCTGGCAGGCTCACGTAAGCGGGCGGTGGGGTGAGGGTCGAGGCCGAGTCAATATTGGGTTCGAATTTGCGAGGCATTGGACCTCGTTGAGCTTGCCATTGAATTGCGGCGGCCATGTTCGTGTTCTCTGACAAGGATTCGGCGTCCCGGCTCTCAGAAATTTGGAAGTCCAACGACGGGTTCTTGCGTTTTCCATGAGGCCTGTCGGCATTCGCTTGTTGGAAGGGCGGAGATTCTCGACGATGTTCCGCGCCGGGATTCAACCTGTTGGAAGGAGGGGTATTGCGGGATGAGCCTGAGCCTGATGTCGACCCTACGCCTAATTGCAGCCATTGCTCGGTTTTGTTCGAGCCCCAAGCCGGAGCTGCTGCTGCTGACGACTGCTGTTCACTCGATGCAAGAGACCGAAAACTCGCCGGTTCCAGCTTCGCCACGCCCTCGGTCCCGGGCTGGTTCATGCTCTCCATGTGTCCACCATAGCTAAGACTAATGTGGTCATCCTTGCGGGCGGGGGCCGCCTGCTGCTGCTGCTGCTGCTGCTGGCGACTCTGATGAGCTTGAGCTGGAGACGCCAAGGTGTCGCTGAACGGTATTCTGACCTCCCCATGCCCTTCGGGCTGATCCAAAAAACTGTGTAGAACTCTTAAGCTCGACCCCGATCGAGGCTCTCGGGTTGATCCCTTGGACACGGACTCGGCTGCGCTCTCGAACTTGGACGAACCATCATTATTGCTCGATCTCGAGCTTTCTTCTGCCATAAGAGTTTCAGCTGTCAAATCGGATTCTCCGCACGCTTCTGGTGTTATGACTACCCTTGACGTTGAGCCCGACCTAGGCGAACTTCCGCGCGTCCTAACCTGACATTCGTCCTCGCTTTGATCTTGCACCTTAACGTGAACCTGCATGAGCATGAGATCGCCAGCTTCAGGCGGTTTTCTCCTCTTATTTTCCCTGAAGAAACTGAGTTTACTCGACAGTTCATGATCGTTCTCAGCTTCCACCTCATCCACTCTACTTGAAGTCATATCCTCATATTTCCGTTTTGTAATCCAGGGAGCCAAATGGACTTCGCTTCGAGACCGATTGGCACCCGTCAGGGATTCATCCGTCCCGAAAATGTCTCTGAACCCACCACCACCACCACCACCAGCTGCTGCTGCTGCTACTGCTGCTGGTCCCGCACCAGCGTCTACAAATCTAGCCTGAGTTGCCCGCGCTACATGTCTCTCGGGAACACCATTCGTTCTACAAGCCGGCGTGATGATGTTGTGCACCGCGTGCTTCATGTCCTCGGTCGAAAATCAGCCTGCAGCATGCCAATTCCCACGTAATGTCCGTCACTAGAATTCGCACGCAAGAAATCGACCCGACCCCTCGACCCCTCGACCGTCCTAATGAAACATCCGCACCCGCACCAGCTCGACGGCGGGCGTCCAATTGTTCTCGTGGCATTCCGAGAGCAGGCCCGTGGCCACGGAGCTGGCGCTCACCACCACCAGTCATGCAACTTCCGCTGTCGGTACGTCATGGCACACAGGGATCGCCCCTCTCATTTCCGCCCCCAGCGAGCGCTCCCCGAGTTTTCGAACCCCAGACAGGCATTCGACAATTACCATCCGCGATCGCCCGCCCGCCCGCACACAGAATAAGCGTGGATGGCCGTCCGGGCACCGCATGCATGCAATGGTGCCTCTGGGATCCGCAGCCTCGTCTGCAGCCCCGGTTTGGTATTCCGATTGTCGTACATTTCTGAGCCGGGGCGCTCACACTCTCATGTACTCGGGGCGTGGGGGCTCTATATTAAGGCAGGCTGTGAATTCTGGTCGGCGCACGACGAGATGGATCCCTCTGGGAAGCCCTCTTCGGCAGATTCTCGTCATGCAGGTGCGAGGGAGAAGGTGCTCATCTATGTTTCAAGGGCTGTAAGGCAATAAATGTCAGTGGGGGATACTTGGCAGCCCCACGTCGAGTACCTATGCACGACGGGTGCCAATGCATTTTTGTGCTGCGTCTTCGTACACGATGTGATGTGAATGCATAATTCTTCAAAGAGCAGGTTCCATGTCGAGGAGTTCGGAGCTGATTCTGTTTGAACAGCGTCCGAGGAAGCGATGGATGGGAGGGAATTCAGTGAGTTATTTTCGCACAGGCTCCAGGCTCCAGGCGACAATTGGTGGCAGAAGGGCGAGGGTTGTAGGTCCGTGAGGATTGCAGGCAAAGAAGTTTCAGTATGAGGCGTCGAGGCGTGGACTGATGACTAAAGCACGGGATTTTCAGCCGCTAGGAATTTATACAAATTGCAACGGATGATCAAATTCCAGCGCACGAGACTCGCAAAATCTACGACGAAGCAAATCGATACCATAAACGTGTACAGAGGGGAGATGTCTATGAACAAGGGACATTCTGGAATATGATGAAGCATAATAACGGGAAGATGAAGACAGAGGAACAAGGGGGAGAAGATGCAGCATATTCACACCTCGAGGTCATCGTTTGCCTCGCACCAACAAAGAGAGCCAGCTGATTCCGCCACACCTTGCTGCAGGAGAGTAGCTGCTACAGCCGCGCAATTATGCTTTCTCCTAGACCTCCGAATCTACACCCTCGCTCCCATCCATCGTTGGGTTTTCGATCATGGCGCTTGTCCGACTGTCCTGCTATGTATCAGTCACTGCAAATTGTAGTCCGTGCACATCTGCTCCTGGTAATTTCTAGCGTCCCCCGTACAGAATTTCATTTGCTTACTTGCTCGCCCGGTCGAAGCCAAGGAGGCGGGGCAGAAGCTCGAGCAAGATGAGTCAGAGATATACTGGAAGAAAGGGCGAGAGAGGCATGGAGCGTGGGAGCGAGCGAGGGACGACGGAGAGGACAACGAAATGGAACCCAACGCGGAATTGCTGCAGCTGCTGCTGCTGCTGCCGCCTCCTTCTGGTGTAAAAACTTCTAACTTTTGCGTTGGGATTCTTCTTCTTTGCTTTGGTGATCGATGTTTCCTCGCGTTCTCCCTCTCTCGCTAGACACCGCGGTCGTCATCACCACGAGTCAGTCGGCCTCTCTTTCTTTTTCTGTACAGAAGAGGAGGGCCCGGGGAAGTAGAGAAGATAGATGAGAGGAGAGAGAGGAGCAAGGGAAGGGAAGGGAAGGGAGGGGAGGGGAGGGGAGGGGATGGGAGGGGAAGGGGGAAGGGGGAAGGGAAGCCAGGCAAGGCAAGGCAAGGCAAGGCAGGAGGAGGAAGCAGCAGAAGGGGACGAGAGGGGGATGTCGAGGAAGCGTGCGCGTGGGTGGCACGCTGGCGTCGTGGAGGCTGCCTGCGCTACGTCGTGCGGCTATTACCGCGGAGCCACGACGCCTGCTCAACGTGGGATTAACCCCATGCTCTCGCGGGCACTGCTCACTCAACTTTAAAAACCTGCTGCCCAGGATGGATGGCCACTTGCCGCCGCCGAGAGGAACATGGCACCGATGTAGGGCTCGGGCAATTCTCCCATTTTAGCGGTGCTGCTGTTGCCTTCCATACAGTTCTGATGCCCATCGAGAGAGAGAGAGAGAGAGAGATAGAAAGAGAGAGAGGGACACACCGATTTTTCGCTTCGTACGTGTAACGTGGAGTGGGTACAAGAAGAGGGGGCGTAGAGGGCTGTTATATTTTATGGGTTGATTGCATGTGTTAGAGGGGCGTCTTTTTTGTTTTAGGCGTCTTTTTGGCTCCCTCGCGGCCTCCTCCGGCTGTGCACCGTCCCACGGCTGGCAAGGCAAGGCAAGGCCACCGTACATACGGCGACGCGAGAAGAATCTACGGACGTCGCCGGTCGTTGCGTGCCTGGCTGCCGAGAGAACCGCAGTCCCCAACCGCGCTCGGGTCTCGACGGAGACTTGGGAGGAATTTCTCAAGGTCAGACTAGAATAGAAAAGAATAGAATGGAATGGAATAGCAGCACCACGCCTCGCCCTCGTCGTCGTCGATGTCGTCGTCGTACTCTGACCCCATGCCCCCCGGCCAGGTCTCTACTACTACTACCCCTTCTACTACCACTTCCACTACCACTCTGATCCAGTAGTCTAGACAGACTAGTGCTACTGCTACTGCCGCTAGCAGTGCTAAGAGTAGCTAGCCCTCGTAGCGTCGAGCAGTACAGTGGACACTAGAGCTGATGAGAGCAGAAAGAGAGGGAGAGAGAGGGAGTGGGGGCGAGGTTTGAGAGAGAGAGAGAGAGAGATGATGATGATGATGACAAAGTCTATCATGCCTGATTGACAGGCATGCCAAACTTTGCCTGGCCTGATTGACGAGCCAGGCGATGCTGCTGCTGCGACAGCGGCAGTGGCAACAGGATTTATCCTCTTCTCACCGTCCCATGGATGATCGCGTAATTCTGTGTGTGCATATTTCGCGGCCCTGTTGGGATTGGTACGTGGGGATTTTCCGCACAGATTATTCCCCGTGCCGTTCTTTGGAGGAAAATCCTTGCGAGCCCGACCGACCGACCCGGGTCCCACTGATATCTCACCTCTTGCACGATCCGAGAGGACCATGGCCAGGACGAGGAAAGAGGTCGTCTTGACGGATGTAGGTGGTGGTCATGTTGTTGTTGTACGTTATATATCCTTTTCGATCGTTCCCTCCCATTCCTTCCATATGGGAAGCATAAAGTTGCGGTAGAGTATGGAATGGGTAACTTGAGTGATCCTGGTGCTAGAATTCGTCATCCCCATATTATTCCTTTGCCCTCAGGTGAGGCGGGTCGGGTCGGGTCGCAGTGCAGTGCAGTCGGAGTCGAGAGCGACGGAAAGGTGGCATTCCACTCCATCTATTTATGGACACTACTTTGTAGAGTGGTTTAACAAAAAATGGGGGGCCTGGCTCGGAGAACCTGCAGGGGCCTGCGTGGGCCCGCCCAGCTTCGAGGGTAGGCAGAAGGCGACCCAACAGTTGGTCCTCTGATTGAAAGTTTACCGATCATGATCGCAGGAAGAGAAAGGAGATTCAGATGTACTTCCTCAATCCAGAACAGAGCTGCCTTTTTCTCTCTGTATGTGTGTGTATGTGAGAGAGAGAGAGAGAGACGCAGACAGCAGCAGGAGGAAGAAAAGACGATTGTACCGGAAGTAGATAGAGTAGGCACGACAACTCACCGGAAGGTCCACTCTGTGCAGAAGATTGGCGGGAGGCCAATGTTCGTATGACTTGAGGGAAATTGAACAGAAAGGTGGCGCCAGGCAAGGCAAGACAAGGCCAGGCCAATCAGCCACGGAGAGGAGGAGGCCAGAAGTCTTTTCAGGAAAAAGGCCACAGCCGCAGAGTTGCCATGCATCCCTTCAGTGTACGTCACGGTCAAGTCAAAATAAGCATTAGCGACGTAGATTTTTGGCTTAAAAGATAAGGCGGGCTGTTAATGTGAGGAAAATGTGTGAAACTGTTTGGTGAGGTGCCAACAAACCACTGAAGTGGTGTCAATTGGGCCAATGGCTAAAGTCGATGCGATAGATGCCGTGCATGGCACATTTGTATGTGTTGTTGTTCTTGCTGCAGACCTCTTCACTCGCAAAAGCAAAAAGATGCCCCCTTCCAACCACATCCCCACTTGTACAATGGCACAGCTACTTGTACTGGTGCAACACGCAGCAGCACACCAGCACCGCTGCAATGCGCTGACATGCCATTCCATGCCATGCCCCGCCCCATACCTGCCTCCTTCCGTCCGCCCACAAACGAGACTTCTTCCCCCAGCCTCCGGAGTCCCGAACAAGCCAAGCGATGCGTTCGAAGAATGAGGAATTTTACGACACACCGACTCGCGCCTGGAATATCATCCAACCCCGGAGCCATGTCAAATGCGCGATGCGCGAGTGGTTCCCCCAAAATTCTCTCTGCTCTTTTCTGATCCTCTGGTCTGAGCCGAGGATCAGCCGAGCTGCTCTCATCTGATCTCACAGCAGGCCCAGACTTTTGGCTCAGAGTCGCACGGGATAAATCAATGATTAAAACATGCACATGCGCTTCATGAGTCCGTTAAGGACTCATTAAGGGCGAGGGGCTGCGAGGTGCGCCTGCCACGCGTCGCCGTGGCCGTCAGGGATCTGGCCAGAGGTTCGGTGCCTTCGGTCCGCTTGTGGGCGGGGCCCAAGTCAAGTCAGGATGGGCTGCCGGCTCGTCCCAAATCTTGTGCCGGAGAGAAGCAGCGGAGTCACCGACCCCATTAAATTAACCAAATGTGCGGCCCACGAGCTTAAGGAAATTGGCATCGGAGAAGGAAGAAGAAGGAAGGAGGAGGAGGAGGAGGAAGCTCATGAGATGGCAGTGGCCGACCAATACAAAACTCAGATTGCATCGCCATCGCATCGTCCCCTATCAGCTCTATCTCGACTCGGCCTCGCTTTGCGTTGCCGAAAAGCATTCACATGCACGCTATGGTAGCCCTCCGGCACAGAAAAGAGATTCAGATGCTCGCGGATGAGAGAATCGAGCCCGCCCCGGGGCAGCTGGAGAACTTTCATCGGTCGGTACATTTTACTATTTGCAGCCCATACGGTGAGAGGTCGTTAGACTCCTGGCCTTGGTGGGAAAATCCGAAGCCCAGGTGCAGGAGCAGGACCGAGACCGGCCGCTGCTGCTGCTGCAGAGGAGAAAATTTGAGCAGATGCAGTGAGAGCATTTTCTCCCCCCCTCCATGAAAAGACTATGACGCGTGTGTCCGTATCCGACAAGTGTAGAGGAACGGGCGAGACTCGGGCCTTCTGATTGGCGTCGGCTGAATGAAGCAGCGACGGAGCGAACAGTATTAGGCAACAATGGGCTAGAAATGGCAACTGCTGCACATCATGGCAAGAGTCGGGTTCGGGCGAGAAAAGAACCCCAGCAAAAGGTATCTGAAAGAGAATGCTGCGGAGGTTCCTGCGACGACGGTGCATGGTGGGGCCTGCCAAGATAGGCCGTGGCACCTCGGTAATTTTGCTTCCCCCTCGCATTGGTACGAGTCACTTCGTCTTAACGATACATCATTGAAGACGTCATTGATGGATCGTAACCTCCTCCCACTCTGCCCTGGCTGAGGAGAAAAGCTCTTCCGCTCCAAAAAAAAAAGGCCTTCCAGCCCTTCCCTCCGCCGGTCTCATACGATCGGGCCATCTCAGGCCGAACGAGCTTAAAACAGGCTAATATGTTTAGGATCTGGGCCTCAGGATAATGGAAGCATTTGTGAACATAATCGACAAATTAGCGCCCAGACCTGGCAATAAATTCGAGTAATTAGAGGCGGTCTCAGCGATTTGTCTGTCGCGCAGGGCGGACGGAAACCTTTCACCGCAGGCGGCCGTGCGCCTGCGGGCCCTGTGCCATGCTACATGGCACAGACCGACCTGCGAGGGCGGGCAGGGCAGAGCGGGGCAGCGCCAATAAATTCACCTTACGTGCGTGTCGGGCACGTACGATTAAATGTTTTGACGGGACCACGTGAAGGTGAAACAATGCGTCTCGCGGGCCTCGGAGTAAAAAGGAGGAGGAGGAAGGAAGGAGCGCTTTTGGATGTGTGGTGCGATGGTGCGATGCGGGGAGGCCTGTAACAGAAGAGAACAGGCGAGCAAATTAATCAGCAGCAGCAGGGGGCAGGGGCATGTCGAGAGGATATGGTGTGTGTTAGTATGGGGACGTATTATAAAGGCTAGCGCCAACTGGCAAACGTGCACGTAGATGCCCTGGCCGCGATCGCCCAGACAACATACATAATATGATATGAATAGAAGCGTGCCTGCGATGCCTGCGTGCGTATTCTATCTAGCCAGTTCACGGGCAACCGTGGACAGACAAACAGCCGCAGCACAGCTCGGCACATACACAGCAGACAGTGAACTCTCGAGAATACAGCCTGCCATGCACTGAAACTACCGTATCCCGGACCGCAGCGGAGCAGCACGATCTCCTGCCTCTGCTCTCCTCTGCTCGCCTCTCCCCTCCCCTCCCCTCTCCTCTCCTCTCCTCTTCACTTTCCTTCACACTTTTCCTGCATTGTCTCCGTCCCCCCACATTTACTGGTCTCGAGCCTCCTTCCTGCCCATGCCTGCAGTCGATTGGATCATGGCACCGAGTGATGGTGAAAGTACACGACACAACCACGAGCCACCCTTCCCTTCCCTTCCCTTCCCTTCCCTTCTCTCAACGGTCCCTTCCTTGCCCTGCCTAGCTTGGCCCTGCCCTGCCCTGCCTGCCTTGCCTTCCATGCCTTGCCTTGCCTTCCCTCCCTCCTCCTCTCGTTCTCCTCTCCACGAGCATATTTGGGAAGGCTCAAAGTTCCAACTAAACCGCCGGCCATGTAGTGGGCGCACCTCTGTTCCCGCATGCTGTTGCTGTTGCTCCATGACCGTCGACACAACCTTTTTATTTCTGCACACGTAGTTCTATCTGAAACCACGTTCATATTTCGAGCTCGGCCGCAGAGGTCTTCTTAACCTCACCCGCTCACTCGTTCGTTCGTTCGTTGTGATTGAGCTGGAGGGCGGGCAGCCACATCCAGGGGTGTATTGCTTGCTCTCCTTCCATGCCATGTACTGTACAGCACTATGAGAGGCTTTTGCCTCTCCTATGCTCTTGTTCTTATGCCCTGCATCTGCTTATTCAATGGGGCGAGGCGACTGTGCAGAAGCACACGTGCTTTACACTTAAATAAAAAGATTACATTCCCTCTCTTGATCACAGATCCAGCGCCCTCAATTTCTCACGCCTCCCTCTTTATATTGCATGCAGTTGCGCGCTCTCACTCGGCAAATTTTCTATCATTTCTTACGTCCTGATGAAGTTTGGATTCTATCGCGAGTCCCATCCCATCATTCATGGCATCAACTTGGGCCTCCTACGACCCTACACCCGACATTTGTGGGGTGAGGCAAATGGTCGGACGGGGGCTGCCAAGGGTTTAAATACTCTAAGAACTAGGATATCATGAAGGATTAACGGACCTCAAGGGCGAGAAGTGGCTGCCGTGCTTCATCGCAGGCAAGTTGGTGTCAAGCATGGGTGCGAATCATTCGTATCTCATAACAAACGGCAGTATAAAACAGATTGCCATTTTATGACAGAATCAACATTTGACAGAAATCATATGGGTCTCAGAAAATCCTAACTTCCTTATCCTCAGAATTCTTCTCTTTATTCGGACTGCCGAGACGGAAGATGCATGAGCGAGGGAGAGAGCAAACAAAAGCTCGGTTGATGGCCTTGGCGAGGGGCACTGCGCAAGGGTTGGCTTATGTGCACCGACTACAGTAATTACCCCAGCGCATCATCCAAGGGTGCAAGTACCATCGGAGCCATGATGCTGACGTCTGGACGAGATTCGCTGGTTAATGTGGGGCTTTCGGCCGAAGCTCTGATATGCGAGCGCTCATCACCTTGTGATCATCGGGCCCCTATTCGGCCAAATCTGAGAGCAGATCTAGCGATCGCCTCGAGAGAGAACTGCGGAGCTCAGACTCGATCGCAACACTCTAAACCTAGCTTTCGCCCTCGGCGTGAGGCAACAACAACCCCTCGTCCGTTACAGTACCTAACTGCAGGCAGCAGCATGGTGTGGGCGCAACGAGAATTGCCCTCCAAGATTCTGTGGTAGTCGCGTCTAGCATCGCCAGTGCCTGCATGACTGTCCAGATCCATCGATCCATCCGTCTGACGCGAACGTAATGCCGTGTTGGTTACTCCTCGCTGTCCTCATCCACCAGGTTCGGGTCTGGAAATCCGGATCGAGGCATTGATGGACAAGGAAACGACCGATCATGCAAGGCCCGGTCAGTGGCCGAACCAGAGTAAGCCCCCGGGCACTGGGGAAGGATTAGGAGTTTGGTAAACCTAGGGGGAACCATTGAAGTCCTGTCTGAGAAATGGGGACACCCGGAAAGGATCTGAGCTCGGGCGTGGTATTAATGCCGCTTAGTGCCCTGAGGCCCTGAGTGCTCGTAATAGCCTAGAGTCATGAGCGAGAACCGCAATCAGACTCTCCGAACATTGTCTCTATTCTGCTCCGGACTCGGTCCGGCCGGAGCCGAGGTTATGGCGGACGACGAAAAGTAAATACTCGCCCTTTTGATACGGTATCTACGCCGGACAGGACATGCAGCAGTGTACCTGCCGTAATCGTCCACTCTTCGCTGTACTGTAACATCAGACCATGAGTATTGTACGAGTCTTCTTCTCGTTCTTCTGATGATAGGTTGTTGTTGTTGTTGCTGCTCCTGCTGCTGCTGCTGCTCTTCATCATTCGTGAAGTCATCAAGTAGCGCCTTGAGATGAAGTGATGTCGAGAGAGAGAGAGAGAGAGAGAGAGAACCTGACCTGGCATGAGCCTGAGCACGAGCATGAGCGCGCGAGCTCGAGCGTGAATGAGCTCTTCGCTCGGCCCGAGAAAAAGGAAGCCCACTAGCAAGCAGCGCTTCTCTTCTCTTCTTCCTTTTTGTTTGTTTCTTTTGGAATAGTCCAGGCGCAGTTCGGTGCAGTTCGCTGTGCTATGCTTCTCGACCGACACAGATGATGCACCACCTTTTTACGCTTCGCTTTCGCGACCGGGTCGTCTCGCCCCGCCATGCCTTATCGAGGGCCGCGCGTCGGAAACCCTGACGGAGGTTCTGGAACTAAACGGCAAACGGCAACGCAGTCGCATCTGGCTTTTGGTGCTGGGGGTTCTCGGGAACCACTACACTCACACTACCGTCCTGCAGAGTTGCAGCTTTCGCGTGCTGGCCAATGATCCACGCTGCAGGCCCTCGTACCTTTTCTTCCACTTTCGAATACTATTGGGTTCTGGTTTCGAGATAATTTATAAAGATGCGGACTCGCCCAGATTCTCGATCGCTCATGTATGACATGGATGCCACGTCCATGTGAGACCAGTAAGTCAAGATTGGTCTTTTGGAAAAATCAATGATTCCGCATTTTTTAATGTGCCCGGTCGCTGTGTTCAAGACGAACTATGCTCAAATTTGCAGCCAGCTAAATGGTATACGCAGCGGCACTGCCATTGGAGGGAGGGAGGGAGGGAAGGAAGGAAGGAAGGAAGGAGGGAGGGAGAGATGGAGGCAAGCAGGGAAGGAAGGCGGTCAAAACAACACGGATCGAGTAGAGTGACCCCTTTTTCTTACCTCAACAAACTGCACAATGACAATATCATTGTTTTGCTGCTTTCCAGCAGCGGGAGCAGCAAATTGCAACCAGCTGGGCTGCTAATATGACTCACACCACCATCAGCAAACAAGACAAGTGTTCCTGTTGAAAGGTGACAAACCCCTAGAACTTGCCTCAGGTGCTCTGTGCATGTGGTAAGCAGCAGAATAAATTCATCACTTGGACCAAGACTTCTTCTGGTCGAGGTGTGCACAGAGCCGAATGAGTCATCGACTCGGGGATCGCAGACGTCGATCATGGATCAGACGTCTATCATGATGGTTTTGAGTGCAGCATAGGCTCGAAGCAAAATAAGCTCGCAGGCCAAGCTCCTATAGGGCACATGTTTCTCGCAACAAGGATTCTCACTGTTGGGTCACTGTGTCACGAGCATATAAGGTGGCACCTCGCTTGGGCAGATTCAGCGGAGCACATGTAGGTTACAATAAGATATGGTACGAGATCCCCCCTATCATGCCATTAGTTTTCTCATCCCATGGCCTTGTCATTCATTTGTTGCAATCTGGAACCGGCCATCGCTAGAGCATCGGCGATATTCGGGCTGCATAGTAGTTGGTATTCCGGTGCAGCGCAGCGGTGCGTCTTGCGTTTCCGCAATCAGGACAAAGCCATGCATGCTGGTGTTTGTGCATGCAGATGTTACAACCAGCAAATGAGATCGGCACAATGCCCTCAGACCATGTGTTGGAAGTTGGCCCCGCTATCTCCTCATCTAATTATAACAGTTTCTTCCTCCGATTTTTAGATCTCTCCTCGCAGGCCGGTCAGCGTTTCTATACCGGCTCCAATCATGAGCCAGCAATCCAACACGCTTCCACACCCAGCGCAGTGCAGTGCTGCAGTGAACACAAGAAGCAGCGCGGGGCAGGGCAGGCAGGGCAGGCAGGGCAGGCAGGGCAGGGCAGCCCCGAAGTACGCCTCCAGCCCTCGAAAGGACGGACGATTACTTCATGCTTGGGTAAGCGCGAACATCTCGTGTTGACCGGGTTCCCGTTGCGCTAGCACTAATTCGGTCCGCCCGTCGGGCGACGGGGAAGACCGGCGCACCGAAATTTCCGCGAAACTGGGCACAGCGCATCCGACGACGGTCGCGTCAGGCGGCGAGGGGCCTGACAAGTGGCGGGCGGGAACAGAGACTTCATTCGTTTCGGGGCGCGACGCGCGACGCGATTGGCCGGCGCGGTGGTGTGGACCACAAAATATCGCGCGTCCGCCCCGTCCCCGTCGGGCGTCGAGACATGTCTGGCGGAAACGGTTGTCTGTGTTTCATGGGGCGATGCTTGACATCAGAGTTCGGTCACTGCCTGCCTGGAAGTACATGCTCGACATAAAACCCGATACAGACAAAAGGGGGAAAATCTCGCTTACCGCCACCGCGAGCGAGGGAGCGCGAGGGGGTTCGCTTCACGTCTTTTGACCGCGGGGGCTCCGGCGAGCGACCACGGCACCGGATTCCAGGGTCAGTCAACCGAAGCGGATCTCCAATGCCGATCCATGGCGCGAGTCGAGTGCGTTGAACGCCACGGGGGCATGGCGGAGGTGAATACAGCAGGCAGCATGGAGCATGGGGGGGTAAAATGAGCATGCAGATAAGTTTGAAAACACACCTGCAAAAGATTCATCCACGTGAGGATAGAGCGCGCGGTCGAATATAGTATGAGTGAGCATCGACAACATGCTAGCGAACTGGGGAATACTACGCTGCATGTCACCGTAGAATCAAAAGCGACTTTCGATAGGCGCAGCTCCGGAGTAGTAGCCACTGCACTGCGCTCCAGCTCCGGGCGCGGTCCAGGAGGGAGTTTGCAGACCGAGAAGCGAAGAAAAGCGAGGCAGTGGATTTGTTAGGACCCGAAGGTCTAGGGAGTCGGGCATGGCCTTGGGCTGGGGCGAACATGTGGTCCCTGCGAATAGAAGCCAGCGTATGAAGAGACTTATTCCCCGTGCGTCCAGCGCAGCGAGATTTTAGCGGTGTGCCAGAGGCGGAATTTTGCCTACAGTCGCACCAAAAACAAAAGATCCTTAAAAAGGGTCGAGAGAGGCGGAGGCTGCCGTTGATTTGTGGCCAGTTCATAAATTCCCGGATGTGTAACGGAGACCCATAAATGAAAAAGAAGCCCATGGCGAAAGCAAAAGAAACAAAAGACAGGTCTCCATCAAACACACAGTATCTCCGAGAATGAGCACTCATAAATGGAGGAAGGCCGACTGACTCCCATCACAAGAGCCCATGAGACGTTGTGCTCGCAACGCTACAACTCAAGATTAGCTCCCCCTCTTCATTGAGCCCCTGACGCCCGCCCGCCCACCCGCACCCCCAACCCCCACCCGAGGTGCTGCGTCTCCCGACCAGACGTCCGCACTCCTTCGCATGGAAATTTAAGGAGTTTGCGCCAGCGCTCGCAGCCTCCAAGCAGGCGGTCCTAATCTGGAAGACAATCTCTCGTCTCCAGCCGTGACATGAGAATGACTTCAGCCGAAATTTCAGGATCGACATTACTCCTCTACCCTGCTTTCTGACGTATTCTGCATGGCCGGTGGGCGAGCGACCGGGTCCACAGCTCGTGAACCGGTCTTCCCAAGATCCCGGGATCTGATCCAGACTTATACTCTACTACATTACACTGCACTACTCCACCCCCACTCGACTACACTCTACGAAAAGTACAAATGTGTGCTCTACACCTCGTCGTATGCGTCCTTGTCGACCCCTTTCGACAGGCCTGGCCTCTGTATTTGCCTGTAGTGGAGTTTGCCCACTGCCGCATTTCATCCTTCTTCTTATTCTCGCTTATTCCCGCTCACGTGGCACATCCCCTCTGACGGCTTTATAATGGCTGATGCCAACCTGACGCCGCCATAAACATTTTGCCCCTTAACATTTTGCCGTCCAGCCCAACCAGCCCAGATGCCGGGGTTTTACTTATCAAGCCGCTGATGCTTCTGCTGCAAGCACGTCACTAAGAGCCAACTCCATCATTTCATCTGATCGATGGATTTACCCACCCTCTAATTGCAATCATCCATGTTTCTGATTGATTTGCCTTTTTGATCGCAGATACTCTTCCTTGCTTCCTTTCCTCTCTCTCTCTCTCTCTCTCAAACTCTCTCTCTCTCCCCTTCTCGGCCTGACCTTTCCAGCGACCTGTGTTTCCACGTGTTCGGGATGGCTCGGATAGATAGACGAGAACTCGAACTCCTGTTGGTCCTCCCCAGCCTGCGCCGGGGAAGGCGGGTCGTGCGATTTATTACATGGCGTGGGCACGTCGTCTTGAATAATATTATACTGGCTACAGGACGAGATTACCCACTATACAACAGTTCTTAGTACATTGTTCATCATACTCATGTGGATACCTATCCGCGTATGGCTCCGCGATCTATTATTGAGTATTTTTTCCTTCTGTCACTAACCAACATGGGTTAGTCACGTAAAGTAGAAAGTTCCTAAAGTGGAAACCAAGGTATCCTCCACGTGTCGGCTGCCTTCCTCAGACTTTGAAACCGTCACCTGTTGGTGGATCCGGTTGCATCTAATGCTAGCACAAATCTCCTGCTCCATGAAATATGCCAGCATGAAATGCAGACTATCTTAAACAACGGGCGAGGAGAAGGCTACAGCATACGTTGATCACCTCGGCTGTCGACTTTCAACAGTTTCTCATGTTGCGGTTTTATATGCTCTTCTCAGAAGACGAGAGAGACGAGGACAGTCTCGCTGACAATGTGAACACTCAATGTTTGTGCGTACATTGATGGGGAATGTGCGCCCATGGATGGCTGTGCTTTGCGGGAGACGAGAGTCGCTCTGGTCGTAAGAGTAGCAGTAGATAAGAGCACACATAAATGTCTCCTGACTTGAGAAGAGTGGAGAGAGGTTAGTAGCAGAGCATGGCCCGGACCACCCGTGTTAGTGTGAAGGCGGTCCTATGTACAGGGGGCACGTAGTGGAGTCAGATGAGCTGCGGAATGCATGGCCCTGGGGATATGGTATCATAAAAGCAGAAAGGTGGGGCCAACTGTTGCTCATGTATGTCTCACCATGTGCCGTGCAACTCTCCTCGACCTCCTCGGACCTTTCTCCTCTCTTCTGTTTCTATACCCCACAAGTACATATCCCCTACTTTCAAGAGGACGTTATCCAACTCTCACCTTTCTTCTATTCTTGATGCATAAATTCATGTTCTAGGAAAAGGAAATAGTGGAGAATAACTTG